TAATACTAATAGTAAACACTTATTAAACTATATTAGGTTAACCTATCTCTATACGTTGCTATTATTACTAGTAATTAAAGTTTTAATACCTACTACGTAGTATTTCTAGCACTTTACTACTTATAATACGCTTACTTATTAGTTCTTAACGCTACTACTTAGATGTATACTAATAGTAAGATAGATAATATAACTAAGAGCTGCTTATTAGACGCTCTTTACCTTAGCCTTATAGTAGATAAGCCTAACACTATAGCTAAAGAAAAGAAGAAAAGCGCGCGTATTAATAATAAAACTAGTAACCTTACTAACGCTATTTATAACGCGTACTCTTATAATAAGCTACTATAAGCTATTATTACTACTAAATAGACTAGTTAAAGACGCCTACCTACTAATATTACTAGCTCTAACTATAAGCTACGCCTTAAGCTTAGTAATTATAAGCTTCTTAATAGTCTATTATACGTCTATAATAAGATCTATATTTCTAACTTAGGTAACCTTTATATATAAGTCTTAAACTAGGTTTATTAGTTTTTATATAGAGGTAGATATAGTAGAAAGTATAAGATATATATAAAGCTTACGCGTTAGTACTACTAGCTCTATATAATATATAATATTGCCTAGTACACTAGCGCGTATTTTATTTACTATTATATTAAGTTACACTAAGAAGAAAAGTAGAGCCTTCTCTACTTATTACTTATTTCTAATTAGTACTAGACGTCTATCTTAATAGACTATATTACTTATTTTTCTTTATATACTAATAATAGCTAAATATATAAGAATATTCTAGTTATTATTAATAAGCTTAGTAAAAAGAAGAAGTTTATTCTAGTTATTAATCTACATATTAATACTTTTATTAGAGCCTTTGTTAAGTTTATATAGAGAAAGAAGAGCTACCTAGAGTATATTATATCTAATTATAGCTCTTAGTTTACTTTCTATTTCTAGACCTAACTCTACTAATAATTAGAGACTAAGCTAAAGTTATTAACTACTTATTATCTAAAAACTAATAGTTAGATAGAGAACACTAATATATTTCTAAAGTAATACCTTTGCGCGTACGTTAACTATAAGTAAAATAACTAGGCTTTTCTACTACCTATAGTAGAGTTTAAAGCTAATACTACTATAAATACTAGTACTAGTGTCTCTACCTTTATTACTATAAAGAGATATAACCTACGCTTTAGTATTAAGCTAGCTTAGGCTCTAGAATAGCTTACTACACCTACTTAATATAACTAACTTAACGCTAATAAATTTATAGAGTAGATTAATAAGCTCTAAGCCTACCTAAAGAAATAACTTGTCTAGGTCTAGTTAAAGTAGATAGAATACGCTAATAACTACTACCTACCTACTTCTAAATTTAAGGTTAGTAATTACGTTATAGTAGACTTTTATAACTTACGCACTACTTATCTAAATTAGTTACTAGATTTTAAAAACTATAGTTCTTTTCTTATAATATAGGTAATTAATAATATAGTCTATAAAGTTGCTCTTACGCCTAGAATATAAGCCTATAATATCTTCTACTTATAGCTTCTTTATTAGGTAAATAAGTAACTACTACTAGAATAGCTATAGAATAATAAGAGTTATATTAAGCTTACTAACTCTAATATTAATAATAATACTAACTATATAGTTAAGGCTATTCTTAATAGCTACCTTAATAAGACGCTCTCTAATCTAGAGCTCTAAGACAGAAAAGAATTACTATAGTATAAAGTCTAATAGGTAGACTACCTAGAAAGTTCTAATAACCTATTCTAGAAACTCTATATAAACTTTGTAAACTCTACTAATCTTATTAACGCTTTTTACTAATAGAAGCCTATAAAGCTAAACCTATACGTAAAGTTTAGTATACTAATAGATAGATAGAAACTTATAATAATAATACTTTATTAAAGTAATAATTATACCTAACTATAGCTACGTAAACTATTATATTATAAGTAGTTACGTAATACTCTATCGCGATAAGTTACTACGTGTTAGAAAGGCTACCTTTATGTATTATTTTACTAGTAATACTTAACTAGAGATAATACTTACTCTATATAAACTAATACACTTAGAATCTATTAATACTACTATTATAACTACTATACTTTCTAATAATAAGATCTTTATTATAGCTTTATTAGGTAATATTAACTTAGAGATTATAATTCTACTAGACTAGTATTAAGATAAAGGTAATAAAGGTTTGCAACAGCGCAGAGGTATAGTAATTATAATATTAGTGTTACGCCTTAATAGTATACTAACTATTATAGAATATTTCTACGTAATTTACTAGCTACTACGCTCTATTACTACTTATTCTCTAAGCTGCTTAAGCGCTCTAAATAATACTACTAGGCTATAATAATAGAACTATATAAAAATAAGGTAGAAATATAAAGTATATTATAGTAAAGATTATAGAAGATACTTTAGCCTATATAGCTTTTGCGAAATAGGCGTCTTTTTTATATTTAGAATTTATTACGCTTAGATATAATATTACTTTTGTAATATACTAGCTTTAAAAGTTATTTAGTAAAAAAGATACCTCTTAGATATTAGAACTTACCTAAAAAGAGAGAGAGGTAGTATTATAGATTAAACCTAGAACTCTTATTCTAATTAGGCCTAGTACTGCGCTAGCGCGTAGCCTATATAGAAATATTAAAACTTTAGCCTAAGATTGCTATTTACTTAATAACGTAGTATCTTATAAGTAATATAATCTTAACCTATATTTCTACCTATTATAACTTTAAAGTATAAACTAATTATATACTATTATTAAGCTACTTAAATATATATAAAATTATTTTAGCTACTTTTATATTTTAATAAAGTAGCTATACTTTTTTTATTTTTAATTTTTTAAGTATTACTTTAAAGAAAGTAAGTAAGTAGTAAAAAATTTTATACTATAGTAAAAAATTAAGATATAAATATAAAAATAATACTATAAGATTATTAGAAAAGCTAAAAAGTTAATAGATAATAAGCTAAGCGTTTATTATTATAATAATTTAGTTATTTATTATTATAATAAAAAGTTTAAAAAGAAGTAGTAAATATATATTTTATAAACTTACTAGTTAAGCTTTAACTTTAGTTCTATAGTATAAGCTATTATAAAACTTATTATACTAACTTATTATAATAACTTATTATATATTTATTATAAAGTTATTTTTAGCTACTATAAGTATATATAAAAATAACTACTTTAAATAAATAGCTTAGTAAACTACTATTACTAAATATCTTCTTCTCTAATATATATAACTAAAGTACGTAAAAAGACCTCTTAGGCTTAAGCGCGAAAGACAGAGAAGAGGGTTCTACGCGCCTCATGGCACGGACGGTAGATCTGCCGATCGTTTGATCGAGAGAGATGACCCCACGCGTCCGCCATTTCAACTCACCAGCTTCACCAAAACTGATTAGAAAGGATCGCAGCCATGCAGACGACCCTGTTTTGTTTCAATAAAGTCTAGACCTGTTTTTGTGACCTTGTTTCTTGTTCACAGGCAGACATCATGCAGGGCCAATCCCCTGTACCGCTCGCAAAAGAAGGAAACAAAGAGATGTCTGTAACGGTCCGTCACCCACAGGGGGTCCCTCATTTCCTAACTCCACACCTTGCATCACCGTGCTCCCGACCCCACGGTGATCACTTACAACTCTAATGCTTAGCGTATGACATAGAGAGAGGTAATATAGAAGATGGGCCGCTCGCTCATATTCTTCCCTCGATAACCGACCATTCACAACACCAAAGAACTCACTGCTTTGGCGCATTGACTTGTAAAGACTCCCCTTCACCTGTCTTTCCTTCGAGTACCGACAAGCGCCAAGTTCTCCCTTTACCGACACTCAACCTGCTGTACCACATCTTCTCCACATCCCTACCTTCGAAGTCGGACCTCTCAGCCAGCATGTACACCCAAATGCTCTTCAGCGCGTTTCTAGCGACGTCGCTCGCGGCACCGCTCGTTCAACGGCAGTCACCCAAGACGGGAGCCAGTGACAGCTGGCAACCTGCATCCGACACGATCACGACATGCGACCCCGACTCCCCAAAATTACTCAGCTTCACAGCTGATCCCAAACTCGACACTATCCTTAACAACGCCTGCGCCGCCATGATGCCCGGTTGCGCCTATCCAGACCGCATCCCCACCGGTACGCTGTGTACCGCGACTGTTGACTACCCACTCAACGGCGACAAGAACAGCACACAGGATGCCAATGTAGTGGGTAGCGACGGTAACAGAATTACCGACTATGCTGTCAGATGTAAGAAACTCTTATCCAATTAGCAGCATCCAGATGTACTAACGAAGGTCTTAGTTGATGTTACCCCAGCTTCCCAACCTGAGGACTCTGCTGGTGTCTTCTGGAAGGTCGAGGATTGCTATGGCTACTTTGCTCGCATGCTTCAGAAGGAGGGAAAAGAGGGATGTCACAACAGCGTCGGATCTGGTTCCGGTAATGTGACGGTCGGCGGTGATTCATCACTGGCCGGTACCATCTTCAAGGTCTCCATTGTTCCTACGGAGAGCTTGCAATAGCTGTCCATTTTTACTTTCTTGTTCATTTTTTAGGGTATTGCTGAGCTTTGGCGTCACGATAGGCGCGTACGGATCATGGATCAAGCGCTGTGCGCATTGGCGTTCTATTGTAGCAGTCCCGTTGCTATTCATTTTATGGTTGTCACGCTTCACGTCAGAAATCGGTGAGGTGTGCATCTTCTACATTGTTTCTGCCACACCAGTGTGACATTGTAGCAGCCGCATTCACTATGAGTTTCGGCAAGTTCGACTGCTTTGGACGTGCCGGTACGCCGTCCTTTCCACCCAACGCCTCCAGATCACTCTCACTTGATCAACAGCTTAACTTATTAGCTTACTCAAGATTCATATACAGTATCGCCTTATTCACAAAACGCGAACCCTATCAGCATAATGGCGCACGATTACCGTTCACCACTCGACAACGCGGACGAAGAGCTGGTAAAGTACAAGAACCCGTACCTCAAAGGCATGGGAGATCAGAGCATATGTACCATCTGGCCGACCGACGCGCCGACAGACTACACAAACAGCGCGACCACTTTCCTCGAAGCCGAATACGCAAATCCCGATTCGCCAATACACCAAGACCCTCCGCTACCCATCCCACCAGATCCCGGCAACTCACTCAGACCCCTCAAAACCGACGATGATGTCTTCGACGCTGCTCGTATATGGCTCAAATGTCCTCTCGATCACGCCATCGTGATGAAATATCCTACTCAACTCGTGCAACTCAATGGATGGGTAGGCTCCAGTCGGGTAACACTCTATTATGAGAAGTTCATGGGGACACACCAACCGAGATTGCTCATGACTATCAAGTGGCTATGTCCAAACACACTGGATGGCATAGCTGAAGGTGACACGATCGATCGGCAGTGGGTGGACGAGCCAAAGGCCTACAAATGCTCATACGTTGCTCTTTGCGATTACGACAACCTCGTTCTTTTAAGGTTCGGAAACGTCTTGGGGATTGAAGGAGTTCGGGTCACCGCCGTTCCAAGAGATAGTATGCGTCTGACGTTCTTGGGATTTCTACTCGAAGCGTGCGATGCGGTATTGGGTGAGCCGGGTAGTGGCCTGTCTTGAGTCGGGTCTCTTCTCGTAGCTTAACATTCTACTAAAGGACTTCTGTAATGGATAGATGGCTAGGCAGATCAATGATAGCTGTTTGGAGGTCAAAAGCAAACCTTTTTCTGTACAAGCCCTGGGACTGTCACGAAGCCCACAAAGCCTTTACATGATCTGATGACAGGATCTAGCTTCGGAGGCTTCCATAGCATCCTCCATAGGCGAAACCAAGCAAATATGGTGGTGTAGAGCACAAGCGACGAAGGCGGTGATGCGGCTCCATGCCAAGTCGGCGCATACGTCATCACCAGCCTCGGTCGCTCACCCCTGTCCTCAAAACACCAACCTCGCTACTAAACAGCAGCTGCGGTTGCCGACAGCCGCAACATCTCGTAATGAGAAGAAGAGCCGGGCACCTCCGCTACCACATTTCGACCGAGGAAAAGAGTCCGCATGCTTGGCAACACCGATGCGCGTTCACGATGGTTCCTGTCGGTCCCGGGAAAGGTACCGGCGACATACGCACGTATCCGAGTCTGGACTGTTTATGAAAGCGTGGTACTGTGTAGTGGCTTGGGAGTGACGTGCCACCAGCCACAGTTTTTTTATGTCAAGTAGAGGGAGGCACGTCCTCATTGCAAAATTGTTACCATCCCTGCCTTGTCTACACCATACACCATAATCTCTAATCCCGACACAAGGTGCAAGCTTGGTCAAAATGCGCGTCGCCAGTACCGTCCTCGCTCTTTCCTCCGCCGCATCAGGCTTCGTCCATTCTCGTCAAGCGTCCTACAACGAGACGAGCTCTACGCCCAATGTCGCGGCCGCACAATATGATGGAACCTGTTTCTACCCCGTCCCTGATTCCAAGTTCAACCTGAACGCGTATCTCGGTACCTGGTATCAGGTCGCTGGTACACCATTCGGTCCTACGGCCGGCGCGCGCTGCGTCAGCGCAAATTACGAACTCAACGTACGTGTTTCTATGGATTTGGATCGCATATGCAGCGGTTGACAGCGGATACAGGACAATGGCACGGTGCGCGTCACAAACACTGCGACTGTCGGCCCACGAACTGTCGACATCGTCGGCACAGCTACGCCCGTAGACTCTGCCTATGGCGCCGGCGGTGCTTTCGTTGTCAGCTTCCCTGGCACGCCATCAACGGCAGAATGCCCAGGACCCAACTACATTGTGCAAGGTGAGTCCTGCTATGAGCATTAATCGAAGTGCACGACCACTAACGTTAATGCGCAGATTACGCCGTCGATTGGGCAATTGTGCAGACGCAGAAGTGGAACACGTTGTACATCCTGAGCAGGGTGCGACAGCCAGCCGCTGAAAGCATCGATGCATGGATTGATCGCGCTGTGGCTTTCGGGTCGAACGCATCCTCGATTATGAAGTTCAACCAGACGGGCTGCGAGTAGGCGCAAGTTGGCAGAGAAGAGAAGAGGAGGATGTCATTGCGGTGACGTTGATGTGAACTATCGATTTATGCAGAGCCGCGAACATTTCGTCACGTAACCTTCCAGGAGGAGGGCAGATCGACCATTTGAGCACTCAGTACACTCCAGAGATACATGCACAATAGAGAGAGTATACATTTTCTAGGCCTGATGCCGATCAATGGGTATCTAATTACATCCAAAAAGGACAACAACTCCGGTTACGCCTAGCAAAGCTTATGACACCTGTGCAGCAGACACACTGTGATCTGCAACTTCAACGCTGCTCTCTTTGCCGCCTTCCTCGCCTTTTTCGACTACCATGTCCAAACCCAGACCTGAATCCACGCTTGTCTCGGAACCGCTTTCGAGCTCAACGACCTCTGGCCGGACTCTGGGCTTAGAGGGGTCCCAAACGACGGGGATATAGCGCTCATCGTCACGATACTGCTCCCACAGCCACAGTTCGGGTTTGCCGTCTCCACGGGGGCACCAATCATCCCACGCGAATGTTTCGATGCCGTTGAACCATCGAATCATTGGCGATTGAAGCTTAGGAAGCCATGCCTTGCGTTCCTCGTCAATTTCGCGTACCATGTCAGCGCCATAACACTTTGGATGACGACGGACAGTGGCAACATTAAAATCGATCGCTTTGATGGCCACGTCATCCGGTGTATCGTCTTTGGGATTGGGCCGAAGGCCGACTACCATGATGTTTCGGGGGCAGAAATCTTCGTTATCGACGCCTGCATGGAATATGATGATGTCGGTATCTATGGCTTTCTTGAGAATGCGAGACCGCATCTGCTCTGGTAATGCTCGCGCATCGATATTGCGCATGGTCTCTCCTCGTACATATTCCATGAGGACTAGTGGAACTTGACGCGTGCGCATCTGAAGCTCACCTCCGTCTCGAATCTCAGTATCAACCGAAATGGTCCAGGTTCCGTAGAACGCAGGTGTGACTTGGCGTGCCGCTGGCGACTCCTGTAACTGATTATAGGCAGCAGCCTCACGACTGTAGTCGGAAAATGCATCGAACATGACATCTTCTTCGAAGCCATACTCGTTCACTTCATTGTAGTAGAGCGGGTCGTAGATTTTGGCGACCGTGTCATTGTCGATGACTACGAGTTGTGCTCCTCGGCTGTGACCGGTGCGGATGACCGCCGTGATAGTCAACGTCTTGACATCTTCGAGGGATCGACTGGGGCAAAGGTGGCGTGAAAGGCAATACTCCGCCTTTGATAGAGATTTCTGGTTGTTCAGAGGTAGACTCAAAGGGCATCCAGTGTCATATCCTAGGCCAAAAGGCTCCGGAGGCTGATGTCTCGTTGCAGTCGCAGTGAAGCCTACGACATACGGGAATTGCTGCGTAGGTTGAACGGCGATGTCATCTGGACCAAGCGTGCTCGCCGAAGACTCAGGGTTATGTGTTGGTAGTGAAACGGGAGGTTCGATAAAGCAGCTGCAAGCGCTGTTGGCGGCTGCATCATCGTTGATGACCTGCTCCATTTTGGTTTCGACGACTGATATATTTTGGTGTTGTTGGGGTCGGCGGCGTGGCTTGAGAAGAAAGAAGAGAAAGCGTAAGTGATTGAAGCGCAAACGCAAGCGCGCTAAGCCCGACTGACCCTGTCATGTGATATCGCGTTCGCCGGGACTGCCCAGGTGCATTCACCAATATCGTTTCTTGGGGTCAATCTTATAGACCAAAGGTCAAAAAATTCTCGATAAGTAGCCATCAGCTCATAGAAAAGGAGCCTAATACCCGGATGGAGTACGGGATGCTGCGTCTGCGATACCTACCTAACTGCAGCAACGATCGGTAGTCCAGTCGATGTACAGTAAATCTTATAGTTCGAATGGGCTGCTTGAGAACTTTCACTATGTAGCAAAAGAATATCGCGTCATTGAGTGGGTCCTCTAGATGAACTCACGAGCTCAAGCACCTGACACGACAAACGGTCGCACTCTGTTATCTACTTAGTTAAACAGCCTCTTCTCAATCAATGCTCTACTCCCATTTGTTTATCGACCCCAGATACTTCTTCCCACATCTAGCAGACCGAATCACCCCTCAGCGTGAATCCACTAGATGGCCCCTATGACTTCCCCGCCCGCAAGCCGCATTGACTGCTTCAACCAAGGACTACCAGTTCTCGGTGTAGATACTACGACCTACAAGAGCGTGAAGCCGTCCAGCGAATCAACCAGCAAGGCAAAGCCACCTCTGATACTGCGCCATGTCCCTTCCAAGCACTTTTGGGACTTAGCGGACAACACTCTTCGAACGCCTACATTCACCAACCACCGTCAAAGCAATAGCCCTATTGCTACTACTTTCTCAAAGCTTCCGCTTGAGAGTGAAAGCGACGTCGTTTACGCCTCGTTGCTGTACGCTATTTCCCCCATTATGGAGATCCTCCAGGTCTTGTACCCCGATCAGTGGACCATGTACACCGAACTCAACGACAGGGGGGAGATCCTAGAAAATCCGGGCACAAACGGAACAGAGGCGGTAGTACGTTATGATTTGATCTTCAAAACTACTGCGGGACACCTCAATCCAGGCAAGACCATCGCCATGATCGAATACAAGCGCCGAGGACTCATCCGCTATGACGATTTCATGGAGGTCATAGTCTCCGATGACGCACTGCCTGCTGAAATCAACAAAGTCAAGATCGACAGCCAGAATCGGAGCAGAAGTCTAAAGACGAACGGAATGTCCTACAGCAAACAAGTGTGTCGATATGCACAGATATCAAAGTGTAAGCACGTGGCTCTCTTCAACTGGCAGCATTTGGTTCTCTTCGACTTCCATCGCCTGAACTCTGGTACAGATAAGGGCAATCGCAACAAGGGGGAATCATTTACGGCTGGAGACGAAGCAAATGTGACCTGGGTATATGAACGGGGCGCCAGGGAAGGTGTTATGGAGCCGGGTTCCATCCGGAAGGCATTGCTGGGTTGGCTACTGAAGGCGTTCGCTGACTTCGAGAGTCAGTAAATGGCGTTGTCAAAGCTTCTAGGGTGTTGTATGGATACCGCCCGGGAGCTCACGAGAGGCAACGTAGGCGTCTTGGTGTCATACAGGTTAGCGTATGAGCAGCGATGATACCCCAAATCGATTCAGACATACTTGAAAGACAGCAGTGACTTTGTTCCACATGACATGACCTAAATGAACACTACTACCCTTCCCCACATTCTCTGATACGCGTGGAGAGTACATAGATCGTTCTATCTCGAGACGTATCCGGCGCAGTACGTTGTATCCATCAGCCTACTTATTAGATCATCATCACGTCCTACCACCGCCAGTATCCTTAAAAGCTACACATCCGTCCGCGTGCCCCCGTTCTCCAGACCTGCACCCCAATCAATCCCAGGACAAGCCTTCCTATCCCCCGCATCCCTAACAAGCGGCACATACTCCTCCCTCTCCCCAAAACACTCCCATAGCCACTCATTCGTCGTCTCCGGCTTAGGACCAACCCACCCCTTGAACGCAAAATCGCTCATCGCGTTCCAGAACCTCGTCACAGGACCCATGATCCTGCCAGGCCATTGCTGTTGTATGTATGCGGAGTCGGAGTCGCCAGGACGGGGTTCGCTGAGCCGAATGACATTGGAGACGTTGAAGTCGATGATGACGATGCGGAGGTCTGGGTCGTCGAGGGAAGATGCGGGTGATGGGGAGACGAGCATGACGTTGCGGGGCGCGATGTCGCGGTGCAGGACACCGGCGGCGAAGATGAGGGACTCAGCTTCGAGGACTTTCTTCATGATTGCTGAGCGAGTTTGTGCAGAGAGCAGTAGCGGCTTTATGGCGGTCATAACCGTACCGGGTATATATTCCATGAGTATGAGCCGAACGTGTCGTGTGTAAATCTGTCCGTCCACCAACGTGTCTACGTCAATAGTCCAGCTACCATAGTACTCCGGGACAACGCGCTGCGCCTTGTGATCTCGTCTTAATTCGTCGTACGCGGCGGCTTCGCGGGAGTAGTCTCCGTCAGATAGTACGACAACATCGCGCTTGTCGTCGAAGATGTCGAACTCGTCATCGTAAAGCGGGTCGTATATCTTTGCTACTATATTGCCGTTGACCAAGACGACTTGCGCACCGTATATGGAGCCAGTACGTATTGTATCGGTGACGGTAAGCGTGTAGGACTCTTCGAGCGTAAACCCTTCAATTGGCGGTCGGATAAGGCAGTAGTTGAGCTGCGGTAGTCTGAAGTGACCTGTCTTGAATGGCGGCCATGGGGTGTTGTAACCGTTACCGAAAGGCGCGGGTGGTACGTGACGGTGGGCAGTGAACTTGGCGCCTACCGTGTAGGGCATAGCAGGTCTACTGTCGGTCTTGTTGTACGGGTAATTCAGATTTTCGAGGTCGTTGCTCTTCTGGCTCCCCACACGACTTTCTGATTTATCAGGAGCGATGTCAAGCGACCTAGAACTGCGCGCTGAGGGCGTCATACGGCGGGAAGAGCTCGTCGTCATGGCGGCTGGCGACTGGTATCTGGGGCGTTTGACCTGAGAGTGTAAAAGTATCCGTAAACCAGACTAGAGCAATCGGCCACACGCCATTTTCGCAAACGGGTGTGAACGGTGAAAGGGTTTTTCGTGGTTCCTGGTGAAAGTGAATTGACTCCAAAAACACATGAGAAGCCATGTCTGGCGAACGAAACCCTCATCTGAACGTGATCCCGAGATACCAAGCATAGAATCTCCGTGGATTGTTAGTACTAAGTGTTCGGGGAAACGAGAACGAAGCGAATGGCATCCCAGAATTCTGCAGACTCTAAATGATACCTTGCGAATTCGTCGCAAGCTCATCCGAAGACCGCACGTTGCCCTACAGTACCATCTGACTTCGGCACCTGAGCGACAGGCTGTTGAGGAACAAGCTGAGGGCCCCATTGCTGAACCGGCTGCGGACCCCACTGCTGGTAAGGTTGCGGCGCCCACTGCTGTTGTGTCGGCTGACCCGCCCATTGCTGTCCCGGCCGACCCATCCATTGCTGCCCCGGCTGCTGAACCCACTGCTGTCCTTGTAGTCCAGTATAAGGCGACGGCTGACCAGGCGGCTGCATCTCATACACACTCGCAAACGCCGCATATCTCCCCTTGCCTCCAAACGCCCACTTAACCCCTCCTCTCGCCCGTACAAGAACCCACAAACTGACAAAGACTGATAGAGCAGCGACAGCCAGGGCGATCACCATGAACCTCATCGCCTTCGCAGTTCCACATGCCGTTCCTGCCCAATCTTCCCCGGGGAAGAACTTGTCGATCTGACATGCCCACGTCTCTCTCGTGTGCTCTTGGTCGTCCTGTCCAACGTCTTCGTAGCTCTGCCAGCTTTTGTCGCTACTTTGGACAGAGGTGACGTATCCAAAGACACCCAGACTAGCACCCACCATAACAACGTTGCTAACGAAGATGATCCACGTCCACATTCTCTCATGTCCCGCTGTGCCCTCTGTCCTTCTCAATTGCCATATTCCCGCTGCGCTGAGCAGACTGACTAGATATCCTAGCAGGCATAACGCGAGTATGGTGATCGTGGGCGCGTTGTTGGTGTCAACGGTCACGGTGGTGTCGTTCGAGCCGGGGCGGGACAAAGTTATCTGGGAAGCGCCGCTGCGTATGTCGCGACCGAGACCGTCGTTGAAGTAGTTTTTGGATATGCGCTCGAGGATGTTGGTCAGGGCGGCGAGGCCGAAGAGGAAGAGAAGGGGCGGTATGAGGAGAAGCAGGATGCGAATGCCGTTAGGGTTGCGCATTTTCGTGACTCTGCGGTGGATGGCGGCGTCTAGGGAGTCGCGATGAGCTGATGCGGGTTATATTTGGGCGCAAGATGTCCCTTTCTCCCAGCTAAAGGTGCGCAAGGCGTCAGTCGAGCCATCGTGACTCGCTGGTGGCGGTCTGGGTCGAGGCATGGACGCCTGAAAGCAGCGTTGGGGGCGAGCCTTGCTTGGCAAACCTACACGTCTGAGAATAGCCTTGCATCCTGTATGTAGCGAAGTGACGCTGGATCAAAACGATCCGCAAAGACAATGACACTATGTCGCCGTGGCATAGCGTGTTCCGCCGTGGCATCGCGACACGCGTTCACGTGGTTGTGGGGCAGCATCCCGTCGGGCCGTCCGTCGGGTGATTCAACACACCCATGTACAAAAGCGATAATAGAGAGATATTATCTATTGAGTGTACTCCGCCCAAGGCAGAGAAACAGGCATTCTATATGCCAAAGATCTACACAAGTACCAGCCTAACGATCTAAGAAACAATTACAAGTATATGCTCTAGCGTCCCATGAATTCCAAACGCCGTGTATGCAAGAGAGTTCCCGCTCATTGGAACTATTGCGGTGCGCCGATAGCCTGCAGCTTCGCCAGCTCAAAGTAAACTCCCTTCTTGGCCACCAAGTCCTCGTGTCTGCCCTTCTCTACGATCTTGCCTTGGTCAAAGACGTAGATCACGTCGGCGTGCTGAATTGTGCTCAAGCGATGCGCGATCGCGATCGTTGTGCGGCCTTGTGCGGCGGAGTCGAGGGCGGCTTGTACGACGCGTTCGGACGTGGAGTCGAGCGCGGATGTGGCTTCGTCGAGGAGGAGGACTTTGGGGTCGCGGAGGAGGGCGCGGGCGATGGCTATGCGTTGGCGCTGGAAGACATGTTAGTGGGGTTGGGAGAAGTGAATTAGTTGGAGAACGTACCTGACCACCAGACAGTAGAGCACCCTTTGCGCCGACCAGCGTGTTGAAACCATCAGGTAACGATGTGATGAAGTCGTAGATGTTGGCGTCTTTGCACGCTTGTATCACTGCGTCATCGCCCAATTCCTCCTTATCGGCAAGGATGTTTTCCCGGATAGTGCCAGTATAGAGCGTTGTTTCTTGACTGACGATGGCTAGTTGCGACCGGTAGTCTTGAAGGTTGTAGTCCTTGACCTCCACGTCATCGACGAGCACGGCACCGCTTGTCGGGTCGTAAAACCTCTCGAGCAGCTGCATCACCGTCGACTTACCAGAACCGGATGCGCCAACAAGGGCAATGAACTGACCGGGTTCGGCGGACAGACTGATGCCGCGCAGGACACGATGGTCCGGCCTTCCAGGGTAGGTGAAACGGATATCCTGCAGCTCGATCTTGCCGCTCAACCTGTCAATCTTCTTGCCCTCAGTCGACCAGTTGTCGATCTTAGGAACACGGTTCAAGAACGACTTGAGAAGCTTCGCTGCATCCCTGGCCTCGCCCATGTCGGGAGCGAAGGAGAAGATGGCACCGGCTGACTGAGCACCGTTGATGATGGAGGAGTAGACAACGAAGAACTGCAGGACAGTGTACTCCTGGTTGAACAACAGACGTCCTCCGTACCAGAACACAAGGGCGAAAATGAACATGCTGAGACCCTGGGATGTCGCGAAGAGCACTGCTGACACGTTTGTGAACTTGAAGTAACCCTTGCCCTGGTCTGCAAGCTTTGTGTGGTACGTGGACAGGAGATGCTTCTCCAGCGAGAGAGAAGCCACGGTACGAATGGAAGAGGCCGCCTCACAAGCGAAGCTGGCAGCATCGGATGTCTCCTTGGTTCGTTTCTCCATGCGAGTGAGAGCATAGAATCTGAAGTAACCACAGGCGATGACAAGTGGAATGGTTGCAGAGCACACGAGTGCCAGCTTCCACCCAAAAGAGCAACCCACAATGAAGGCGACAAGGATGGAAGCGGCGGCGCTGACAATCGTTCCGAGAGTAGAGCCACTGAGACCGGCGAGACGATTCGCTTCTGAAGACAGGAAGTTGCTCAGCGCACCAGAAGTGACCGTGTCACCATCGAAGAACTCCATGTCTTGACGAAGCATGGCGCCGAAAGCGCGCGTTCGCACACTGCCAACAAGCCTGGCAGATCCTTTCGACAGTGTCATACCCTGTACGTAGTAGAAGAAGCCGATGACGATTCCGAGCATGAGGAACATGCCACACCAGAAGTTGACGTTGAGTCCACCGAGAGATGTTCCGGGAGATAGAAGCGAGTTGATGGAATTACCCAGGAAGATGGCTTGGATGGCAGGGTTGCAACCAGCAAGGAAACTGAACACCAGTCCAATGGTCATGGTAGAGTGCTCTCCTTTGTTCATCTCCCAAGCGAACTTGACCAACTCCCAGGTGCCGTATTCCCTGTCTTTCTCATCCTTCTTGGCATGGAATTCTGAAGGAGCGGATGTAACAGTGCGCATCAAAGCAAGCTTCTCTTCATCGACAACGCCTTCCGTTTTACTCTCAGGGTCGTCAAGAAGCGTCATCCTGTTGGCGGGGCTGATTTTTGCGGTAAGCTCCTGAGCCTGTACTAGACTTGCGTACACAGCTCCGCGGTTGATGAGCTCTTGATGAGTGCCTTGCTCGACGATTCTGCCCAAAGCCATGACCACAATGTTATCGGCCTTCTTGATCGTGGAGAGTCGGTGAGCGATGACGATAGTAGTGCGTCCCTGCGACGCGCGGTCGAGAGCTTCCTGGACTGCGCTCTCGGAGCGGGTATCAAGGGCTGCGGTAGCTTCATCTAGGAGGAGGATCTTTGGGTCGGATACAATAGCACGAGCAATCGCGACACGTTGCTTCTGGCCACCAGACAACAAGCCACCTCGCTCTCCAACCTTGGTTTGGTATTTCTCCGGAAGATCCATAATGAAGTCGTGAGCGTTTGCAATCTTGGCAGCCTTCTCGATAAGCTCCATCTTCTTCTCGTCCGATACGTCTGCGTATTCCGTGTTGACTAGGCCGTGGAGAATGCTCTCGTAGATGGTTGTGCTGAACAGAACGGGTTCTTGGCTCACGATAGCCATGTGTTGCCTCAACCAGCGTAGGTTGAGTGTAGTGATGTCTCTTCCGTCCAAGAATATTTGGCCTTCCATCGGAAGGTAGAAGCGTTCCAGTAGTCCAACAATGGTTGATTTTCCAGATCCAGATGCACCAACGAGCGCAATCATCTTGCCCGATGGAACGTCCAGGTTGAAATCCGATAACACGACAGTATCCGGTCTGGATGGGTATACGTGCTTGAGGTTCCTGAACTCGAGGTTGCCAACAAAGTCATCGGGTACAATGCCTGCATCCGTTTCCGGGTCGATGGGGGAATTTCGTTCGATCGTGTTGAAAACCTTCGTAGCTGCCGCAGTAGCTCCACCGAAAGCCTGAATGTGCGGCAAGTTCTGTCCGATGGAGAAGCCAGCAATCATGAGCGCCATGACTACAGTCAGGATGTTGGAAACGCCGAGGTCTCCATCATCGAGGAATCGTTTACCTTGCCAAAATGCAAGGCCGTACTGGAGGTTTAGCACACCCATCATGCCAGCAATCATCATAGAAAGCCAGAACTTGGCCTTGAAGTCCAGCTTCGTAGCGCGGTCTACGAAAGCCTTGTACTTCTCCTCGAGTCGTTTCTGGGTGCCGTATGCAGCGACGTTGCGAGCTGAAGACAGCACTTCCTCGGCCAGGGAAGCAGCAGTGGCGTACTCGTCGATGGAGAGTGTCTGAGCTTTCTTCATCATAGTACCGTTGACACCCATCATCATGATGAGGGCTAATGTTGCCGCAAGCATGATTAGAGAGAGCTTCCAGGACCGTATAAAACCGATGATGATGGCAGAAACAAACATGGACACTCCGGTAACGAAGAGACCAATTTTCTGACCGATGCCATCTTGCACCAAGTTCATATCAGAGCTGATGCGAGTGGTGATCTCACCAGATCCGAGGAAATCGAAGAAAGCGATGTTCTGTCTGAAGATGGCACGTAGGTAAAGTTCACGAATGGTTCGTGTGATGCGCTCTCCGGTGTACGAGAATCCAATGATGCTGATGTAAGAGGTGACGAAAGATCCAATTCCGAGGTAAACGAAGTAGAGGGTAAACTGGTTAATCTGGTCCTGGAACTTGGCAGCAGCGACTGCATCAACTGAGAAGCTGGTAAAACTTCCAGCGAAATTACCGTAAACGAGCTGAATTAAGTTAGCTCGTAGTTCCCACGACTGTGACGAACATGTGTTTCTTTTTGGTGAACAATCTTAAAGTCTACATGAGACCAAATCGTCCATGTTCGAGTGGTGCAAAAAAAAGTACGAAATGCTACTTACCGTCATGAGTGGCATAACGGCACCAGCTGCGATACTGGCGATTAACGCAATAACCATAACGACTTTGTCCTTTCCATTGGCATAGCGGAAGAGCGAGAAGTAACCGACTGTGAGGTTGGGCGCAGTCAATTGCCTGTCGATGATGTCCTTCTCTTGATCACTGAGGCCAGCTGTGGGAGGCTTGGCCTCCTTTTCCTTATGCAACTCATGCTTCTCGTCGATGGCCGCGGAGATGGCCGTTCCCGTCGACGTTGCTGAGTCCTCGTTATCCATGCTCAAGGCGATGAGCGTGTCTTGTCGTGTCGTTGCTGATACTTGGCGTGCAGCAGTCGAAATACCTCCAAGAGGTCTTAAGGGGATGTCGCGAGGAGAGGAACAATACCTAGGGAACTTCTCCTGCAATTCCTTTGAGATCCTTCAGCGCGCCACCCACGGGCCTAGAAGATTAGAGATCCTTGTAGTGCAAGGGCAAGCCGTTGTCCGAGCCGGACGGCACTAGGCTTGATAAGGCAAAACACACGATCTAAGCTTCTCGGTTGGGTGGCGATGGACCCGAATGTGGATGACGCAAAAGCGCGGACTCGTTTCGTCCGGGGGGCTGGAATACGGCCGATACGATGGATGGATTGCGCAACACCAAGGCGCGAGT